TAGCGCCTTGTTCAACGACTCCTCCGCCTTCCGTAGTGTCCTCGATAGCGTGCAGGGAGGAGCTCCAAAGAGCATACAGAGCGTCTTTTGCTCCATCGAGCTAGTGTAGAACACTAATACTAAGCCCAACACCTGTTGGAGGTTACGGAACTTTGGCGGCCGTCCACGTACTCTTGGACCCGGTAAGCTGTAGATGAGAGAAAGAGGACCTGTTGGTACATGTACTGTCAGCATCCAAGTCAAGAACAGCATCCAGACGAACAATAATAGGCGACCTCGTTAAACTGGTGGCGTTAAGAAAGTTTAGATCACTCCCAATCTCGTATAGAGCCATCCAGGACGCGTTGCTCGGGGAATCCAAGCAATACCCGGTCAAATAGTGGCGGCTGCGCATGGCGGCGCGCCAGGCCTCCTCGATTAGGAGGCCGAAGACCTCTCGGCGCACTTCGTGCAGTTCCTGCCTCTCCCGGTCGATGGCCTCCGCCACAACAAGCATTGCTTCCGTGTCTTCGCTCTTCATGCATTCCCGGACTTGCGTAAATTGCGAAGTGACGTCACCCTGCCTGTGTCCCATTTCGAAGTGTCGGGTACGCTTCCATATAATGAGTTCGGTCTGTGTAAGATCTAGGTAGCGACATATAAACAGGACAGAGGTCTTTGAGATATGCTCATTTATGGTATTTGTGGTGGACGTTTTGATACTTAAGCTCAGCATACATGTAAAGTATGACAGGCTTATCTGCTGCAAATATGACACGTGCTTATGCTATTTATGGAAGGCACCCATTGTCTCTAAGATGAAGCTCTGCTCTTAAAATTCCGTATACCGGTATGTGCCTCTGGGTATGACAGTCAATTGATTGCTGGTCGGTTTTTTGTCAAGGTAACTTACAGTACGTTGTACAGTAAGTGCATATTGTCTAATACATATCTTGCATTGCCGCTGCAAAATCAGGTGTAAAGCCGTTTGTACTTTGTGCTTGATGATGATAGGATATCAGAGCATACTTATATCGTGTCGTTTAATCTTATTGTAGGCAATAATAAGCTTAAAATACTGGAATTCTTCCAAAACCTACACAAATGCAATCACAAACACAAATTTGAAAGTGAAATGTGCTGAAATATATGTCGAATTTGTGATGTGTCTGCTAGCATATCAAAATCAACACGTCAAGGGCTTTGGGTACATGTACGCTGCTAGCCATTCACCCTTTTGATGGCTCGGGATTTGTGTAGACGTCTCAACATTTTACCACCGATTTGTGACAACAAATACGTCACAGCTATGTCAGACGCAAAAATCGGTTTGTGTAGGTTTTGGTAGAACTCTAGTGAGATTGCAGTGACATGCTTAAAAAAATGCGCGAGAAGGCCAGCAATTCACGCTTTTCTCCTGACAGCAACTGATCAAAAACGTACATGTATTTTTTAAGTTTTAAATCACTGTCCTCCCCCATCATGGTCCTAACGAGCAGCCAAATTTGCTCAATGCTCTTCACTGAGGCTGGTGACGGCTTCTACAGCTGCACGACCTGCGGTAAGCGGTACAAGAAGGGCAACGGCTACACGAATCTACTAAACCACCTACGACGCAGCCACGAGGACTATGAGCAAGAAGCCCAAGAAGCTGCGCGCCGCCAGAATTCCCTAAACCTTTGCCTAGTCAGCCAACGTACGCGGGATCTACACCGTTGGCTCGAATGGGTGATTTGTGAGCGCCTCCCGTTTGCATTTGTGGAGCGAAGGCTCACCCGGCTGAATGTGGCACTTTCTACCGTGTCAGAGGACACGCTACTCCGCTATATAGTATTGCTGTTCGAGGTAGTTGAGGGCCGTGTAGCCAGTGAGCTACCCAAATCATTTGGTCTCGTATTGGACGGCTGGACAAGCAGCAACCGTCACTACGTTGCAATCTTTGCGGTATTTGACAGTGCCACCGGTAATACCGGTAAAACCGGTAGCAGCGCGGCCAGTGAGTACTACGAGGACTTAGAGTGCTTATCTCGTCGCTTCGTGCTGCTAGCTTTCTCGCCCGTAGAGACGGAGGAAGATCTTAGCGCACAGAGCCAGTACGACCTAATCGCTGATACGCTGTCGCGATACAACAAGCCCTGGAGCGCAGTGAAGTTCATGGTCGGCGATAACTGCTCCGTTAACCAGTACATTGGCCGGAAGGAGGGTGCTATACCGCTAATCGGATGCGCTAGCCACCGCTTGAATTTAGCGGTCAAGGACTTCCTCAAGAACGAAGACGAGTTGATAACCAAGGTCCATACCTTGATGTCCAAGCTGCGGACGATCAAAGGTAGAGACATTCTTCGCCGCGTCTCCCATCTGTCTCCTCTGCTGAGGAACGACACCAGATGGTCGAGCACGTACGAGATGGTAGAGCGCCACGCCAAACTCCAGCCGGCAATTGTTCAGCTGGGCCTCAATGTCCTCGTGGAGCATGATGTGCAACCTCTCCTACTACGGCGTGCGGAGCACGAGCGCGTCAAGGCGCTTCTTAAAGATTTAGCAGCTTTTGAAGCCGTTACCAAGGAGCAGCAGAAGTCTACGCTAACTTTGTCCGCTTCGCGACGTCTTTTTGACCAGGTTGTGAAGGAATACCCAGCCCTACAGCCTCGGCTGTCAACAACGGCATCTATAGTGAACAACCCCAATTTAGAGCAAGGTCTAGTCAAGTTACAGCGTGGGGAGGCGCTAAACGTCGCGAAAAAATTAGCCTGCGCTGAATTTAGGTCCCCTGATCTCGAACGG